ATATTAAATTTTGCACAGTGAAAAGGATGATGGCTTGCTGGATGTGAAGAATTAGGAAAGGTGCTTATGGAAGAAAGTCCCTAGGCAATAAATTGGCAGATTAAATTCTTCATAGTTGAATGCAAAGTGTTGCAAAAAGAGCAAAACAGTTCTAAAATCAAGAGACATTATGTACACAAATTGCAAGCATTTCAGTAGAGGACCCTACCACATACTGTTGGCTTGTTCTTACTCTCCTGGTTGTTTTCTGCTTATAGTCACAGTTTGAGGTAGGATAGTAGTCTGGGTGGATTTTTGGTCTGACCAGGTGGAGGAACAGAACTTTTAAACAGTTGTAGCCTGAGATTTAATAATGTACATGTGACAGAAAAACATTCTGGTTAAGGACTCTACAGATTTACTGTGTCCTTGCACGGCATTAACGATGAACTTAAACCTGTCAACTATTGATGTTCAGAGGATTAAGAATCCCAAGAAAGGCTTCAGCCTTTCAGAGTGCTCTTTACAAACCAGCCACTGGCCCCTCTACTGGTTACATTGGGACTGCCCAGGTAAGACTGTCCACGTTAATTACATAAAATGCAAAAATACAGAAAGTTTCTTCACCAGAGGATGAAGACAAAAATGTTTAACAGAGGAATGTGAATGAAAAAAAAAAAAACAAAAAAAAACAACATGGACAAAATCTATTTGAAGACAAAAATGTTTAACAGAGGAATGTGAATTTAAAAAAAAACCAAAAAACAACATGGACAAAATCTATTTCTTTCACAAAGTCAGAACACAAAATGGTGTGAGGTTTTCCCCTGGAATTATGAGGCTGAAAAACTGGAGCTTTTACAGCTAATGCAGAAAATCTCAGAAAACAAAAAATCCTTCTTGCCTAAAATCAGATAAGCTTTATCAAGGGGAGGAGCAGTCCACAAAAAGTTATACTTCAGTATGTCACTCAATGAAGTGACTCTTTTCCATAAATGACTTCACAGAAGCCCAGGCAACTTGTGCATATGGAAGTCATTATCCAGTTCCAATAATGAGGAAAGGGAGGTGTAGATTCACTACTCAGTACTAACCTTTGGAAATCCCAATATTGTGTCCTGACAAGCAGTCTTAGGCAGAAGGTCTCTACCTCCTTATCCATCCATCCATCCATCCATCCATGTGGATACGATGTGTCTTGGTCAGCACTGGATTAGCAGAACAATAGTGATCTCTCACTCTGTCATCCAGACTGTGCTGGAAGTACTACTTCCTAACTTTCTACTAATTCATCTGCTAAAATGATGAAAGATAAACAGTCCCAGAAGTCTTCACCGTCCCACACAAGGGAGAAGTCAAACTGAAATCAAGCAAAGGTGTCAAAAAGAACAGTCAGGAATTGCTACAATGATTCAGTTCACATTCATTGTGTCAAGTGCTCTGCTAAAGCACAGTGATGAGAAAATTCCTGGCTTCTCTTTTTGAAAAGAATATGCTGATACATCTGTGGTAAACACTAGTTTGATGAATATGATACTAAACCGTCCCTAGAGTTTATAATTGTTTCTGATAACAGTCTCTGCTGCTCAATGATTTCTCAAATGTTCCCAGTTCTCTCTAGCAATTAACATGGGAAAAGAGAATCTCAACTAAATTGCCATTCAGAAAGAACATAAATAGGAATAGGACCCCTTGTCAGGAGGATCAGCCTGGTATATTCATAGAGATCAGTACCAGACACTGGCTGAAGATAACTGCTTCAGCTCCTGATAATCCTAGCAAGCAATATCTAAGAAAGGTACAACAAACTTCTAAACTTCTACTGTTTAGCCTCTTTCACACGTCTGTAGAGTTTGTAGGCAGCAATATGTCTTTAACGCAAATGGTAATGGCAGCTGGTAAGCAAAGCTCACCATGTGTACAAGTGTGGTTCACAGCTCAGGGCCAATCTTTGTAGAGTCCAAAAAGCCATCACCAAAAGGGAACAACAGTTCTGATAGTCTGAAAGCCAGCACTACTCTGCTCTCTGTGTCACTTCAGTGCCACCCACTCACTCCTGCAGCTATCCTCTGAGCATGCCTTACCCCACACGCTCAGGACTGTGCCCCTCACAAAAACACAGCTGCAGCAGGTAGCTCATCTTCACAGAGAGGCCACTCTAATCATCAGAGATTCTGCCCTCAAATCAGCTCCTTCCTCAGCCTGCTTGCACTCTCCCAGAAGGCAGCTACAATTGCTAGTTTATAGGTTTGTCTGGGTGGAATCCAGCCTTTCTTCCAAGGTGCCCTACTGTGCAAAAATCTGTGTCTGCCTCAAAAGCATTCTCCATGAGGACAATGCACTTTTTATGGGAGCAGGAGGGCATGCCAAAGCAGGTACAAGATTGCAAGATACACTTCCATGGCTTCAAAGATATACTTCCATGGCTTCAAAGAGTGAAAAGTGCAGAGAGACAGTCAGTGTACTGAACCCATTCCCTTCTTCACAGACTTCAGAATATCTAACACTTACTACAGATTTCAGCAACGATGTTTATTAGTAGCAGACACTCCTGTCCAGAGGTACAAAGAAGAAGGTTCTGTGCACCCATAGCATGGCCACACTCTCATTACACACAATAGAAATAATATTGCTGATTTTATTAGAAATTGTGTCAGATCCTGTCACCAAACTAGTCAGTCAGCTAGGAAGTGTTGAGGAGAAAGTCTTACTTCTGCCTTTTCAATCCAAAACAAACAGTGATCCAAAACATATTTTCCCTCTTCAATCACTTTCCTGATTTAATAAGCCACTCCTCAATGTCCTGGGGTAATAGTATTGTGTATTGATTACTCATTTTTAAAATGGAATCCCATCTGTTTCACTTCTGCTTATTCCCAAAGTTTCCAATGAAATAAAGAATAAGATCCTAATTCCAGTACGGTTCAAACACAGTGAAGGCTACATCTCTGTATTTATCTTCTGCTTTAGAGTGTATGGATGGATGATTTCTTTAAAAAAACTTCTAAAACATTAGAAAATATAAACTTCTGTGAATGGGAAGATGTGTGGAAGTTTTGTTTTTTCTTTTCTGTTTCAAAGCAGGATGAGGAAACTTCATAAAATATAATACCACAGAAAGACTCATATTACTTTGACATCAATTCCACGCTGGGCTTTATAAGCAGAAAGTTCAAGTAAATTCAAATATAAATTACACAGCAATTTCTGTTCATATAGAATATGATGGATTGCTTAAATTAGACACTGTGGGACATGATTTGTGCCAATGTACATGTCCATGCACCAACATTCACGTCCAATCTCATCTTTCACTAATTGAGGTAGAGACCTTGAAATTGTAGTAGTTTTGTTTGATGCTCCCAGGCTTAGCTGTCCTTGAACACTGTCATTACTATTGCCTGGTTGACATACTTTGCCTAGAGATTTGCATTTCAGAAGCAATATCACTATCCTCTTTCACCCTGAAGACCTAAACATTAATCACTACACCTCTTAATTCTCCTCATGCAGTCAAAGCATGTCCTAAAACACATTGGTCCTCCAATCCCATGTTGTCTACTCTTCCTGAAAGCTAATAGAACCAGATGAATTTGAACAGTCTAGTCTAATCAAACCACCTCTGTATTTTCTCCTAGTGTCTCCCCCATTCTTCGGTGATAACTCCATCTGCCACAGAAATCTGCTGTGGCACAATCCAATTGTGACTCCACTGGCAAAGAGACCTGGGAGTGCTCTGAGTACCCAGAAAATGATCAGGATCATGCCTTTTGAATAAACCATTTCCATGCTTTATACAGTGTTGCACAAAACGGGGTTTTTTTTTCATAGAAACAAGAAAAGAGGGACTGAAAAAATCCCACATATTCTAACGTAGAACAACTTGTCTTTAATCTATCAATGCAGCCATAAGTCATATATGTAGGATGTACATGATCTCTCAAAGTTCATCTTAGTTTATGCATCATCTCTTCTTTGACACTAGAATAAAGGTGTGGAAGCCCATGAGAAAAAAGCAAGCTAAAGGTATTCAGAAGTACCCATAAATTTTATTACCAATTCAGAAGAATCCACATTAATTGTCAACATTAGTCAAGGCACCAATTCTGTGATGTCCTTACTGTAAAGCATATACAAATTATTTCCTCTGCACTTGCTTTTCATGGCCACCATTTCACAGAGTACAGTTTGTCTTGGACAAACCACAGACACATACTGAACAACATCCTGAAAAAATTCTTGATGCTTTTTTTTCCCTTCTATCTGTCGTACAGTATGGTTCCAAATATGGAGGGTAGAAGACATTATTAAAATCGAATTGCTAAAAATCTCACCTATACAAATCTTAAAAATCTAATCTTAAAAAGCTATTAAACTCACTTTTTATCACTTTGTGTTTAAGAAATGCTTTTTCTGAACAATTAAAATGTGCCGATGCTTTATTTTGTTCCCAAAAATTAGCTGTCATTTTCTGGTTCTCTTTCACTAAGCTGATCTTTGGCTTGCACATAGAAGATGTTTTTGTAACAAGTATAATCCAGGTGAAAATTTTATTTTTCTAAGCCCTAAATTAGATCAAAACAAATCAGTCACATCAGACTATCTTCAAATCCTGGCTTGTACATGGCTTGCTTTCCTTCTCTCATTCCATTGTTCTCTACTACATCTTTCAGTTTAATTTTTCCTCTCTTTCTTTTCATTAAAATTATTTATCTTTAGCTGTTATTCACTGTTTTACAGGATAGCAAGTTGTGATGCTACTTCATAGCAAAGGGTGGCCACCATGCAGAAGCCAATGGCAAAACTCCCACTCACAGAAAAAAAAAAATCTCCCTGATGCATTTTAACTGAAACTCCTCTGGACTGTCAATTGAATACCTGCCATTATGCATTTGTTACCTTTTTACTTTTCTGGGTTGAAACGCTTGAGTTAAGAGAAATTGAGTTTTCTCTCCTCTCCTCTTTCTCTTGAAAGCAACAAACATATTCCTTTCCTTTTAAAATATAATTATGTTTCTTACCATCCACGCTGTGACAAAATCTCCCATCCAAGTCCCGACTGCAGCTACCTTCATAAAATTTTCATTCCTGATGCCCATGAAGTCTGTTATAATGTATGCACTGTGAAAACAAGAACACAAACATAAGATACACACATTTGCTCAATGTAGTTGCAAAGAACTTGCATTAGTGACAAAATTTATGATTATCTGTGAGAGATTTGCCATTGCTTTCATAATAACTTTTCTGCTAGATCTGAGCCTTGACATAGAACTGAACCCATATGGGTCGATTTCAATTAGAAATGCAATGTGAGTCTGATTTTGAAGTCCATGTCTCTTTTGAAGGTGCTAAAATAACAGTTGGCAAAGACTTTGGGATTATGTAAAGCTTCTGGAAGTAGAAAATGTTTTATGCTTTTTTATCTTTTTCCTTTATACAAATAGAATTACAACATTTTTCAAATCCATGACTTTGCAAAATCTTCATGAAGAAAAATAAAAATCTTTAAGGTATGTTTAAAAAGATAATTGAGCTGCTTGACTTTTCACTCCATCAGTTATACAACCACTTTTTTTGACACATCAGTGTAAGCAAGTTTTGCAAAATTTCAGTGAGATCACTGTTTATAGATTTATACAATTTATTTTCACAGATGTATTTTACTTAAATCCAAAAGAAGCATTTCCATTCTGCTTAAATAATGCAACAGATAGGATTTACAACCTCACTTGGTAATTTGACTTCAAGTTCACCAAGATGCTATAAGAACAATTAAGAAGGTAAAGTTACTTGTTCTGGATTAAAACCTTTCTGAAAAAAACCATACATTTTAATATACTGATATCCTTTTCTAAAAGACTTTTGTAGTGGTCAAGAAGAGGCAACTCTCCTCAAGAGCTAATAATGATGAATGAATATGAATGGCAATTGTATTTAACTTTACAAGTGATAACTTTATTTTCAAGACACTTGTAAACATTTTTATGTATTGTTATGCCTATTTAGGAGTGTGCATAAGTGACACAGTTACATGTAAAAGTGTCCTTGAACACTGTGCTCTCCATTATTCAAATCTTACCATTGTTACATACCAAATATTGCAAGGTCTAGGAGTTATACAGACCATACCTCTGCAATTGGATTAGTGCAAACTGATTCCACTCTCTGGGCCAGTTCTGTTAAAATCTAAATATCTGATCAAGACAGAACGTCTTGCTAGCATGGTCTTGCATAGACCATAGTATATTTCTTGGAGAGAATTTAATATGTTGTAGAGCTGAAATATTATTGTCAGTGAACAGTTTCATGACACATGAAAAATGTCCTAGTGTAACAGCCATTTTCATTATATGTATTATGATCTTTCAGCTGGTATGTCACTAACAAAGATGCCATCTTTTTTTTTTTTTGGTTGAATAGCATATAAATGCTGGCTCTCATTTTCTGCTAAAAAAAAAATCCAAACTATTTTTAACAGCATTCCATGTAGTTAAAAGATTATCAATATCCTAAATTCACCATGTTATAAATAAGGATGTAAGAACCCAAGAACAGGAACTTCAGGTCAGCCTTAAGTCTCCCTGCTTCAATGTTCTGTCTCCAAGAGAGGGCAACAGCAGAAGCAAAGGAAGACTGAAAACAGGCAAGCACAGCCCTCCCAGATATATTCTCCTACATGCTTTAGAACTGGAAAATATTTGGAATTACTTTTTTCCTGTAGCTTGGGCATGCCATTCTTGTAGCATCTGTGAAGGCAGAAAATAATCAAGCCTGCATTCCTTAAGAAGGTGTCTTGTTCACAAAGAAGGCATGGCAATAAGTGTCATTGGTAAGGAAAGGCCCTCAAATGCAAAGCATACCTTAGTTTTCTCCATCAGTGACAGACACAAACAAAACCCCAGGGTTCTCACCTTTTCTTACTTGCACTGTACAATCTCACAGGCATTACACATGGTTACAGGTGTACAATAAGCAAACACTTGCACTACATCCCCAGAAAATTAGCTACTCAGGCCATTCCTGCAGCCTGGCACACATCCTGGCAGGCTGCTGGGCACAAGGGGGGTCAGCCAAAAAGGCTGACAGGTCACTGATCCCTGAATACAGGTATTACCTAGCAGAAGAGAAATAAACCCAGACATAAGTGATTCTTTTTAATGGAAATTGAAATTCCCAGTGTAATCACTTGTTTTTATGAATGTTAGAAGCATCAGAAGGCTTATAATAAGGTTGAATGAAGTGGATACAATATTTAAATACTGAAAGGCCTTGAAAGCATCACATCTTCCCAACAGTTCTTCTTGTCATTTAAAACATGAAAACATCAAAGAAGCCTAGTATAAATTGTGCATTCCAGTCTACAAGTAATTAATGCCTGAATTAAATATGCAAATTGACAAAACTTCAGTTAGTGTCAAAATAGCATATTATTATAAAGAAACTGTTAGGAATATAATCTGTGCATGTTTTAAGTGCATTTACTGATTAAAATACAGGTATAACTTTTTATGAACAGGAAGAATATTTTTAGCATTGTCATCTTATTAGAAATAGTAATGAAATACATCACTTTTTCATTAACTGTTAGCATTGCACCTCTTTTATGCTGTCTTTTATGCTGTCTGCAATATTGTTTTTCCTTCAAAACACAAAGAGAAATTGACTATTTTAAAATGGGTATCTGGGGCTGTTAAAAATGAATAATTAAAAAACGGTTTAGGTTTAAACCTTTTTTTAGGTTTAAACCTAAAAAACCCTCCAGTTTTCATTTTCAGGTTTTAGTTTAAATAGGAATAAGAACACTTGACATTTTCAAAAAAGCCATGCTTTCCTGATGATACTAGCAGGATACATATTATAACAGTACCAAAAGTAAAATTCATTCTGTTGTGGAAAATCCTCACATTTTACATTTTTCTAGAATAAGCTAGTGATTAGAGTAGTTTTCTTTAATTATTTAGTCTTCTTCCTGGCTAGGACCCATGTCTGCACCTTACAGAAGGACTAAGGTCTGCTGGGTTCCAGTCAACTGTCATGGCCAGCCCAGATTTTCCATAGCTTGTCAAAAGGCTTCTGTTTGCCTCACCATCTGTGTGCTGTGCAGCAAGGCACCAGCATATTGCATGAGCAGCACAACCTAAGGAAACACCCAGCGAAAAAACACCGCAGTCAAAACCCAGAGCAAAAAAGCTCTTCTGAGACAGACAGGATAAGTGTAAATAATTAAAGTCTGAGGAGCCAATACTTGTGAATATTATACACAAAGGACAAATTTGTGACTGGGATTTGGGAGCCTTTCACAGTAACACTGGAAGCTACAGCTCCAGGTAAACTGCTCTCAACTGGTGAAAGTCTAAGGAAGGTAGAGCAGCATTTTAATAAAACAGGACAAAAGAGAGGGATAAAAAAAACAAAGGAGACTTGATAAACACAATTCTAAAACAGATTTAAAAAATCATGAGTAACTGTCTACATTCATGTTGATGCAAAAGGTATGTTAATAATCATGAGTCAGTGAGTCAGTAAAAAGACGTATTTGAACACTTTCTGGAGTTAGCAGCTGTGTGCACAAAAGGGACCACACTATCCTGGAGATTTTATTCAAAGGAAGATATCAGAGCATTTTTTCAAAGGATGACACTGTTAAAATTGCAAAGTCTGAAAGCAAATGGAAGGTTTTAAATTTTACATTGGATCAAGATGCACAAGTCACCGTGGTGCTATCGACACTATTCCAAGCACTGGAAAAAATGTCATGACTGAGACTCTGCTGAGCTGGTGTTTTCTTGACCATCACAGGATGTAGGAATGGGCTTTAGCTTGAATAGAGACACTTAAATGTAAGGGTAAACCAGGAAGTCAAACTCTCTATGGAGCTTGGTCAGATTAGGTCAAGGATTTACTTGCTTTATATTACTTCTTGATGGCCAGCATGTCAAAAAAAACCCATGTTCACATATTAAAAGGCATTGTTAAACCTATGTGACTAAGTGATTCTCAGTGAAGTGACATAACTTGATCTCCAGATGCTAATCCAAAGATCTCTGTATCTCTTGTGAGGTCTGTGACATAACTGACAACCCAGACACATCTGAACAGAACCCTGGGTGTCCAGGGATAGCAATGAGAGCATAGACACATTGGGGAGGTTTTAGTTGCTTTTTAAAGCAATTTTAGCAACCTTGGTGTCTCTTAACTAAGCTTCAGCTGGTTCTTTACACACTCTAGAGTACTGAAGGCACTGGGTTGGCACACAGAACACAGTGCATGTTCTGTATAGAGCCAACAGGAGCTGCACCCACAGAGAGTGATAATGCTCTTTAAAAAGGAGGGGAGGCCTAGATATCTTTTGTGTTGAGTAACAAAAAGTCTATACATGTTCTGCAGTCCGATATGCACTTTTCTGGGGTTTTATTATTTGGCCTTCCCCTTAAATAGCTGATTATCTACATGGAACTCATCTTCCTTGGTGCATCTGACAAAATGAAGTGCTTTGACACCGGCAAACAATTGAAAGCACAGGTATTTACACAGGCTGAAAAGAAGGATGTGTTTAGATGTGGCACCACAAGCTTCCATTACTGTCAATTTAGAAGAGGCAGAGAGTGTCAGAATAACTGAAAACATAGATAAAAGACTGCAGATACAGTTCCTGATCTGTATTTGTCACTCTAAAATGACAGAATGGCAAATGAGACACTTGGTAGAAATTCACTCAGCTGAAAAGCTATTCTTCTAATGTCAGAGCCATGGGGAACTGGAAGGTGCCCAGAGACAGTAAGATCTGCTCTCTTATAAACTGGCACATCATAATGAGGATGGCATAATGCACAGCTACCAGCAAACAGCACAGAGAGCACAACAGTGATTCATCCAGTCCCTAACCATCCCCAGTGCATGCTTTAGACATACAGACAAAACTTCTATGACACCAGAACAGAGAGAATTAAGAGGCACTGAACCAGGGATTTTGCTTGACAAGACATCAAAGAGGTAACAGCCACAAGAGGATCAGCAGGCTAATCTGCAAGACACAAAAATCTGAGAAGCAAAACCAGCTTGGCTATAGAAAGGCAGATCCATGGCACAGTGCAGAACACCTGAGACTGACAGACCAA